ACTCAGCTTATATTTAGTTAACTAACACTATAACAATATATATATATGTTTTATTTTTTTTTTACTAAAACTTACATGATACATGTTCTACATGTATGTTAGGTTCAGGCATCAAAAAAATCGAGATCACAACTATATCACAGATGAGACTGGTAGGCCTATATTTTGCCTGCGTCCCAATGTGCACGCTATCTATTCTAAATTCTATGTGATATTAGTCATTTTCAATACTATTTAGGGCAGATAGGGTGGATAGTTTGCACATTGGGACGCAGGGTTTGTCTTTCTCACACTTTCAAAATAGCAGCGGAAACGTTGTGGGTTCGAGTGAAACGCAGCCCTAATGTCTGACAGAAGAGGTTCCTCCCACTTTCTAGTGACGTCACAGTTTTACAGGAACGCCCACATGGAGGGCAAAATAAGGCTTTCCTCCACTGACCGCCAGTTAGTTTTATTAGGTTTGTATCAAATGCCATGAAAACAGTTGTTTCACCTCAAGGTTTTGTTGTTTGTTCATTTCTTTAGTATTTTTTTCTTGGTTTTTCTCCTTGGTTGATATGTCATTGTTTTGGCATTATTATTATTATTATTATTATTATTATCATGATAATATTGTATGGTCATGTGACCTTTGATCACCTGGAGGTAGGCACATCAGTGTTGTTCATTTGTCTGATGAAGAGCCTGCGTGCTCGAAACCTCACATACGCTATGCGACAGTTTTTATCAAATACATTTTTTGATACTTTTGGAGCTTTGGTGTTTTATCAAATACATTTTTTGATACCTTTGGAGCTTTGGTGTTGCCGACTTTACTTTTTAAAAAATGTTCCACTTGTTTCTTAGTCGGGCACCCAGTTGAGCTCGATGTGCGTGCTTTTGCCTGTTCTTTAGCGAGATTCAAGTCAAATCAAAACTGAAAGTGTCACACACAGGTGAGCTCATGGAAATGGGAAAATGGCGTTTCCCTGACAGCTCCACGATCACGTGAATCTGATCTCAGATCAGCTGTTAGCTGCACGGGTCACGTGACTGATGTGAAACTGTAACACAGGAGAATTTTGTCATTCACTTCAGTGTTCAGAGTTTAAAACTTCTCGATGTTTGTATTTTGTAATCAAAATGTAATCCAAAAATAAAGCACTGAATAATAGTCTCTATATCAGCTCAAGTGTTGCTTCACTTTGATTTACTGCGTCAAATCTCTCTGTGCAAATATCTATTAAAAATCCTCATGATTTTCTAGTGTAGTGTTTAATACTGGATGTGGTTTATTAGCTTGCAAGACATTAACAACAGTAGCTTTGTGAGTCTAATGTAAATATTCCAGGTTTCATACAACATACTGTAAGCTCTTTGAACAGCATCCAGGACATGCTTTTTATTAATTATTATGGTCATCACGTTACATAAAAAGTACTTCGCAAAAAAGTACAAACACAAATCATGTCTCTCCTTGGTTTACATGTCGTAACATGAGTTGAAATAGTGTATGTAACGTTACACAGACCACAGTTATACATACGAGTCTCACATTAACACATGTAATGTTTAAGTGTTCTGGCTAAACTTTCAGAACAGTTCATGTTTTCTGGTGTTGATTTTTCTTAAACTGAAGGACGAAGTGATTGTTTTCTGAGGTAACGTGAGGCAGGACGCTTACGCTGCAATTCTGCAGAAGGTTACAGTTACTTTGTCTTTAAAGACCATCAGTGATGAAGGAAAGATTCTCACAACTTTTAAAGCAGGTAAAGTCATTTATTAAGATATGTTTAAACATACAGACAATATAGAAATCTTAATTTTCCCTCTTATACCCTGAACAAAGCAATGTTAAACATGAGTGAAATACAACTCAAAGAAAAGAAAAAGACAGTAAACCTGAAATTAAACTAAAAATATATATATTTAAAAACATTGATTAATGCACCAGATACTGTAGTCAGTATCATACTGTAATGATGAAGAACATTGTCTCATGTTTAATTCACAAACATCTTTTTAAAGAGATCTGCGGATGCCACAGATCTTGATTTGCAATATTCCTTCAATGGAGTCACAAACAGAGCAAAATCCATTTGTAGAGTGTAAAGTCCATTTGTTGGTTCTTGATTTTAAGTTAAATAACAGACAAAAACGTAACAAAAGTGCAATATTATCAAATTCCATATCAAAATACATCATTACAAACAATAAGAACATTACTTTGAAAGTGATCATAACATTTATAAATCAGCGGTTTCCTTTTCAAAAAGAAAAATGAAATAAAAATTGCAATGCATTTTTCTCACTGCATATTGTTTTAATAAATCTTTACAAAGAATAGTAACAGGCAACAGCAACAAGAAAAAACTCTGAAGATGTTTAAAATTGAAAGAAACATGATAGTGCAGACATTGATGCATATTTAAACAGATTTGTGCAGAACATACATAGAAATACATACAAATTACAGTAAAATCAGGGGATCCCGTTGCTCTATTATGCTGTGGGGATCAGATTCATATTCATATTCTGCTGGTCTTAGAGTGAACGATCAGTGCAAATCAACATGAAGTTGATCACCTTTATCTATGATGATTACGGGTAATTCTAACTGTATTCTACTAGATTCCTCCAGTTACTGTTTGTGCTCTGTATTCTCCTGTACTGGAACCTGTACATGACCTCTGTGCTGACGTCTCCATATGATGACAGAAATCACAATCAGAGCCAGAACCACCAAACACACTACAACTGACACAATCCAGTTCTCTACAGATGGAAGGGGAAAGGTGGGAAAAGTACAATTCTTTAAAATAATTTTTTCATTATTAAACTCATTTCTTGAAGATTTTGTAAAGCACTCAATGCCTCTGTTTTACTTACTGTGTTGTTCAGTGCCATCAGTTTTGTCTTTATCTGTGAAGCTCAGTTTGTCCTTTGATTCTGTACCTGATTCTAGAGGATATTGAGAGGTCAGTCTCACAGTTCAGCTGGAAACAGAACATGCATCTTTAGCTCCTCGCCTGTTTTCACAGTAATCTCATCTGAGGAGAAACAGAAAGACATTAATCATTATTATAATGCTGTCAATCAATCAAGGCCATAAACACATATTTATGATTGATGACCAAATGTAATCATTTAAAAAAGCAGATGCTGATGGTTTGATCAGTTTTGTCTTTACCATGAATATGAAGTTGGTACGTCCTGATTAGTCGCTCCAGCTCTGTCTGATCATTATTGTAATAGACATGCAAGTAGTATTTCCCAGCGTCACTGAAGCTCAGATTCTTGATGACGACGTCAGTTTCCTTCTTTAAATACTTGAACACTACAGTTTTTCTAAAAATCAAACAATTTTACAATTTATGAACATAAATGACACTGACCGCTGATAGATGAAGCAAAGCAGCAGCAGAAGATTCCAGCATCTGAAGCTGATGAGAATACAGACGATTGTTATGAGACAGATACAGACACACATCACAAACACATTAATACAGCCATAAAATACTGTGCTGAGATCAAATACTACAGAACTGACACAATACAGTCAACACCTTTCATTTCAATTCTATTTAAAGATTTACCACATGTGGGTCTAACAAGAAACATCAAACTATAATCTGAATCTTTGGTTTATAAACTTTTATATATTTGATAGATGTTCAGTGTAATCCTCCAACTCCTCAAAAGTCCAATTCAGTAACCTGCTACCAAGAAATCATTTGATTACAATGAGTAAACAGTGTAGAACAATTGAATAATTACATTAATAATTCCACTAATAAAAATCATCAGCATAATGATAAACATACATATCCTTAGCATTATTAGAAGGTTAGCAGGCAACTTCTTTTCCACAAATAAACACAGCTATTGGTATAATAACACAAAAACACACAAGCTTTATATGCAAAAGGATAAAAAAAAAAACTTAAAAGTTCTGCACAAGTTTTATATTCTGTCTGTCTAAATTTCATAAACCACGGCACATTTAGTGAGATTTAAGTAAAAACAGAAGTGAAAGTATAATTCCACACAGTTGAGAGCTTATTTCAACGTGCAAATCAACATGAAGTTGATCACCTTTATCTATGATGATCTCCAGTAATTCTAACTGCATTCTACTAGATTTCATCACGCAGTGAAATCGTGGACTCTCAAGGCTTGTTTTTGACATAATAATATCAGCTCACACATCATTAAAACAACAATTACTATAATTTTTTTAACTATACATTTCACCCCCCCAGCTGCCGTTATATGTTGACAGAATTGTGTTGGTGTTGAAGGCAAATTACAAGTAACCAGTGGCGTCACAGGTGTTCAGGGCTCCTGTGCAGTTGAGTCACGTTCAGTGAAGATCATTATAGTTCCTCCAGTTCCTGTGTGTGCTCTGTATTCTCCTGTACTGGAACCTGTGTGTGACCTCTGTGCTGACGTCTCCATATGATGACAGAACTCACATTCAGAGCCAGAACCACCAAACACACTACAACTGACACAATCCAGTTCCCTACAGCTGGAAAAGAGGAAGATGGGAAGAGAGCACAATTTAAAAAAAAGTTTTTTCATTATTACTCACTGCTTGAAGATTTTGTAAAGCTCTCAACGCCTGTTTTACTTACTGTGTTGTTCAGTGCCATTAGTTTTGTCTTTATCATTCTCCAGTTTGTCCTTTGATTCTGTACCTGATTCTAGAGGATATTGAGAGGTCAGTCTCACAGTTCAGCATCAATGTGATGTTCAAATCATGATGAATAATCTTCAGCTGTCCACATGATTTATAAATAATATTTCCACAAATCTGAGTTTCTCTCACCTGTGATTGTGACTGTGATCAAGATTTCTCCTTCAGTGTCCAGAACTCTGTATGTTCCTGCATCACTGGCCAGAAATGCTTTAAAGATCAGGTTCCCATCATTATCATTCAGTCGATCACTCTGAACCCCATCAGTTCTGTTCCAAACCTCCCTCCACTCTCCACTAGAGCTTTTCTCCACTTTATCAGCATTAGACAACAGAACAGACATCTTTAGCTCCTCGCCTGTTTTCACAGTAATCTCATCTGAGGAGAAACAGAAAGACATTAATCATTATTATAATGCTGTCGATCACTCAAAGCCATGAACACATATTTAATATCGGGGAACCAAATGTAATCATTTAAAAAAGCAGATGCTGATGTTTGATCAGTTTTGACTTTACCATGAATATGAAGTTGGTACGTCCTGATTTGTTGCTCCAGCTCTGTCTGATCATTAGTGTAATAGACATTTAAAAAGTATTTCCCAGCATCACCGAAATTATTGGCCTCAGATTCACATGTTAGTGTGACGTATCCTCTCTTTTCTCCTGACACAGGTTTAGAGGTGTTTTCTGCAACACTCAATAGAAAGTATCAGTAATGAAAAATACATGTGTTTGTGTCTATTCTCAGAAATCAATGTTATTATAAAATATTCTAATAGAGTTAATTTAGTCAGCTGTATTTTCTTTTGCTGAAGATATTTCTTCACACATCTAAGTGGATTCATCAGCTGTGAACTGATGGAGGAGTTTCTCTAATATTTAGCATCAGAAATGAATGTAAATATTAAGGATGCTCATTGCTCATCAGAGACATGATCTATTTAGCCTTTGTGCTCTTCATCTAAACACTTAACCTCAGGTTACTTCATTGTCTCTTCATGAAATAAAAGCATTAAATGCTCAATCTCAAGCACTAATGACTAATGAGATCTGGTTGATGAATTAATAGAAAGCAGCAGGTTCAGTCAGAAGTCTAAATGCAGCGACCAGAGCTTTACCTTATAAACTACCTACTTAGTTCTCTTTCCTGTTTTTACCAAAAAAAGGACAGCATTTGTTTAAAATAATGAACACAGCACTAAAAAAAGTGACTTTCATTGCAACCAGATATTTGTTATAAAAATGGATTAAAAATATAAACGAG